ATACATGCACCAGTGTGAACTGCAGGCAGTAACCCAAAAGCTGATGAGCTGGCAGAGTTGCAGGCGCCGTGTCGCTGGATTTAGCAACAAATACTTCAGACAGTCATAAAATTAAACCCAGGCAGCGATGCACCTGGCTTGCCGGTGCGAGCATCGTTTTTACACGACCCCGTCCTGTAAACAGAACTCGTATATTATTGAAGTGTCACTGCGGTGTAGCAGTTAGAATATCTGGTGCGCTTGTATGCAAGTCCATGCCTAAACAAAAGCTGATTTTACGCTTAATGGACCGCACATTAGCAGCAAATACTTCAGAAAACCCCATTCAGTCACTCATTACTGAGTTGACTGGGTGCAACAGTGCTCCAAACCAAACTTTCACTTGGGGTAGAAATATGTTTTATCCGGCTGCTGAGCTGAAAATGGGAGATAAAAATCCGAAGATACACAAACTAACAACTTCTCAATACTTATTTTTATGCGTTTTTTGCAGCAATGCAATGCGAAAAACGCATAATGACGAGAGGTTGTCTGTGTTTGTGTGTGTCTGTGTGTGCGCTGGGACTCTGTACCGATTTTTCATCTCGAGACAGGCAAAAGCTACGGGCTGAAACTTTGGGGACATAATCTACATGCACGTACGGGCCCCCATCCACAAAACTGGCGCCAAAACTCGCGTGGTACCCGCGTACGAGCTCGCCAAAGTTTTTTTGGGGTCGGTTCATAACTCGAGGATCTGAGAAGATAGAAGGCTGAAATCATGGGGTAATGTTCCACGGCCAAGCTGGTATTAGTGGCCTCTAACCCAGACCCCGGGTAAGCATGGTACCCCCGTACGAACCCGCCAAAGTTTTTTTCGGGTAAGTTCATAACTCGGGGAACTGAGAAGCTAGAAGGCTGCAATCTTGGAGTAATGTTCCCTGCCCAGGCGGCTACTAGTGGGCTCAAATCCAGCCCCGGGTAAGCGTGGTACCTGCGTACGGGCCCCCCGAAATTTTTCCCGCGTAAATTCATAACTCGGAGTTCTGAGGTGCTGGAAAGCTGAAACTTTAGGGGAATGTTCCCTGTCCAAGCAGGTGCTAATGAGCTCAAATCCAGCCCCCCCGGTAAGCATGGTACCCGCGTGCGGGCCCCCCAAAATTTTTCCTGCGCAAATTCACAACTCGGGGGTCTAAGAAGCTAGAAGGATGAAATCTTGAGGTAATGTTCCCCGCCCAAGCGGCTATTAGTGGGCTCAAACCCAGCCCCCGGTTAAGCGTGGTACCCGCGTACGGGCCCCCCCAAATTTTTTTCGCGTAAATTCATTACTCGGGGTTCTGAGATGCA